TGCCCCGCGCCTCCTGGACCTCGGTGCGCGGGTGGGTGCGTGAGATGGGTGCTTCGGTTGGTCGCCCGCGCGACCCCTCCGCGCCCTGAACCCTCCCCCCAGCGGCGACGGCGCCGATTGGTGAAGTGCCTGCGCTGCCCGGTGTCCTACCACACGCCCGCCTGCACGCCGGACAAAGTCCAGCGCGTCCCCGGCTGTCTCAAGGGCATCCTCTGCTCCCGCTGCCGCGCGGTGCCAACCAAGAAGTACGTGATGCCGCCCAAGCACGTTGAGCCGGAGGGGCGGAACCGGCGGCAAGAGCAAGGCACGCGCGCGCAGTGGCCCGCCGCGCAGGCCGCCGCCGAGGGCGACGGCACGGGCGCAGGCGCAGCGGGGCCACGCCGGCTCGGCAGGCACTGCGTGCGCTGCCGTTGGCGGATGGCGGCGACGCAGGGCCGCGGATCCCGCCTGCGCTGCTGGTGCACGTGACGCCGCTGCAGCAGCAGCAACAACAACAGCACCACCACCACCACCACCTGGCGGGGCTGCAGTTTCCGCTCTGACAGTTCGCGTCGAGGCACACAGAAACATCATGGATGCCCGTCGGCGGCCGCGGTGCAGCAGCGCTTGCGCTGGGCAGCGCCACTGACGACGCCGCAGCGCGCCCGCAAGGGGGCGCGGGGAGGGGCAGGGTTTGCCTTTCTGTCGCGCCCCTGGATTCCAGTATGGGCTGCGAATCAAAGGCCGCATTGACCTCATCAGCAGGGGCTAGCTACCCCGCAGCTAAGGTCGGGCGGCTTGGTACGGCACCGCCTCACCTGCGCATCTCCACCCTCGCCATCCCGGAACACCGCCGGTCGCGAGCTGATGCGCCGCTTGCGCATGCAGAGTTCCCTACAAGACTCCGGCGCGCGCGGCAGGTTGCAGCAGTGGATCAATCAGCAGCAGAGGCAGGCAGCAGCAGCAAAGGGGCGGTTGGGAGCGGCCGGCACGTGCGCTCAGAGCGAGAGAGACAGCTGCGCATGGCGAGGAGGCGCCGCGCGGCAGGTTGCAGCGGCGGCGGGAAGCAGCGGGCTGGTGGTTTGGAGCAGCGGACGCGTGCGCCCAGATCGGCGTGTGGCGCAGGTGGTGCGTTTTTTCGAGGCGGTTGTCTTAAAGATTGGACTGTACAGCCCACATTGTGCGTTACCATGTTGGTTCTGGGCGGGCTAGCCGACACAGACCTGTGGGGGGTGCCTGCTAGTGGCGCTCAGGCTACGGCTGTGGGGGGTGCATCAAGAGGGCAGACAGGCCGGCGGTAGAAATTGCAAAGGAACAGCATGGACAAATAATTTTATGAAGAACTAATTTTTCAATTTTGAAAATCCATCACGGTAAAGTGCCTGCAGTGGGCCACAACCATGGGGGCACAGCAACACAGACAAGAGGCAGGAAGCGATGCGGGCCCAGCGGCTTCATGGAACCAAGGGCTCTCCGCGGGGCAATGCGATAGGCAAGCGGAACCGTATCGGCAGCTGTTATGAAAGGCGTGTTTCCCAGAGTGAGGGCCCAAGATGCGCAGCCTACTCCTGGTATCTCTGTGACTTGTTGTACATGCTGTCAATCACGATGCAGGCCGCCGCCACAAATGCCGCATCCGCGCCTGCCTCCAGCAGCACGTCGTACGTGCTCGAATTTTCTGAGGACGCCGCCACGCTGCCGCGCTGCGGCAGCGGCTGCTGGCGCCGCTCAGCTGCCGCCACGGCCACCTCGCCACCGCAGGGCAGCTTCATGCTGACCTTGAAGCTGGTGGCGCCGAGCTCTCCGCGGATCTTGAAGGCGCTGGCGCCCCGGGAGCCTTTGAGGGTGATGCTCACGGCTGGCAAGTGGGACAGCAGGAGATCGGGAGGGTCAGAGCGGGCGACGTCAATAGGGGGCTCGTCGGTGTTTGATCGAACATGCACAGTGCAGGGGAAGCGGCACACAGCGTCCGTGAGCAGGTCGAGCATAGGCTAGCATGCGTGTGTTTGTGTGCGTGCGTGTGCGCGTGTGTGTGCATGTGCGCGTGTGTGTGCATGTGTGGGACTGCAATGATGCCCCGGCCACCTGGCTCAGCAGCCAAGAAATGGCCCACAAAGGTAGCCAGCCGGTTCCCCTCGTCCAGGTGGCCCCCACGGTACAGAGCCCAGGTGCGCCGAAAGCGTCCGAGCACAAGCCCCATGCACGCAATGGCCTTGCCACGGCTGTCGAGCAGCACGCGCTTCTGGCGGGCGCTATAAGGGCGACCCTCCTGCCTGTACGTGCGCGCAGCAAGAGACATGTTTGAGGCAGATGCATGGGCAGTGAGGGGGAGGGGAAGCACTGGTGCTGTGCGTGTCCAATCGGGAGTGGCCAAGGGTGCAGTGCAGGGGCCATTGCCCAGGGCGAGGTTGGAAGGCATGCCAAGGCATGGCGTTGCATGTGCAGCGGCATTGCAGCAGCGCGCACAAGCACCCATGAGGCGGTTGGCAATCAAGCGCATGCAGGCACGACTGCACGCGCGCAGGTACGCACGTGAATTTAGTGCCCCCCGATAGGGTCTGCA